AAATCGAGAGGACTCTATCGAGTTCAACGGATTAGGACAGCGAAAAGCGGGAGTTGGAGGCAGTGCTGCAGTAGGTAGGGACGGGTTTTCCCTTTTCGAGATTTCCCCACTGGGTTTGCTCAAAAGCGGTTTTTCACCTGTCCGAGTATGTACATAGACGCATGCAGTAGGAAAAGAGGAGGACACGGATACCAGTAGACATTATATAGTACAATCAGCAAAGTACCAGCTTTGCTGATTCTTCAATATCATTCTTTGGCTACATCGATTGCAGAGGAGACACGATCCATCACATAGCACCAGAGACACATAGATTTCCACGAGACATCCATCGAGTTCGACCCAACCTGCGACCTAGTCGTCGTGTTTCCAGTACCGTTACATTGCTACTCCCTCTTCCCGGATGATAATTGTTACGGGGTAACAACAAATCGAGAGGACTCTATCGAGTTCGACGGATTAGGATAGAGAACAGCGGGAGTTGGAGGCAGTGCTGCAGTAGGTAGGGACGGGTTTTCCCTTTTCGAGATTTCCCCACTGGGTTTGCTCAAAAGCGGTTTTTCACCTGTCCGAGTATGTACATAGACGCATGCAGTAGGAAAAGAGGAGGACACGGATACCAGTAGACATTATATAGTACAATCAGCAAAGTACCAGCTTTGCTGATTCTTCAATATCATTCTTTGGCTACATCGATTGCAGAGGAGACACGATCCATCACATAGCACCAGAGACACATAGATTTCCACGAGACTTCCATCGAGTTCGACCCAACCTGCGACCTAGTCATCGTGTTTCCAGTACCGTTACAATAATCTCCTCGTCTAGTTAGAGCATTGCTCCCCCATTTTTGCTACCTGGTCGATAAGTGATCTCTATGTTGAAATCCCCTAGTATTTCCAACCACCTCATCTGTCTTCGATTCAGTTGTCGTTTGCTTTGAAAGTATTCCAGGTTCTTGTGATCTGTAATGACTTTTATAACATCAATACTGTTTGCCAAATAGGGTCTCCAGGCTACCAAGCAGTCCACGATGGCTAGTAATTCTTTCTCTCCTACCGTGTAGTTTAGTTCACAGGGTGTCTTCGCTCAAGACCAATATGCAACGGGGTGAAGTTCGGTGATCCCCTTTACTGATGGGTGAGGGAATCTTTGAGACGCTATCGCACCTATTGCACAGTCGGATCCATCGGTTTCGATCCAAGTTGGTCGGATTCTATCAAAATGTCGGAGTACTGGTGCTGTGGTGAAAGTTTTCTTTAGATCGTCAAAAGCCTTTTGGCACTCTTGTGTCCAGTTCCAAGCTTGATCTTTCCTGGTCAATCGTGTGAGAGGTCCCACAATATGCAAAAACCCCTTGATAAACCGTCTATAGAAGTTCGCAAAGCCCAAGAACACTTGAGTATCCCGGACTGTCATGGGTTCTCCCCATTCTAGAATAGCTTTCACCTTTTCTTGATCCATTTCGATCTGCTCGTGTCCTATTACGTACCCCAGGAACTTTACTTCATCTGAACTCCATTCACATTTCCTCGGACTGGCGACCAAATCGTTTTCAAGTAATCGATCTAACACCTTTTGGACAATTATCTGATGGTTTTCGATCGTGTCTGAGTATACCGTGATGTTGTCGATATAAACTACCACACCTTCGTCAAGTAGATCGTGAAACATGTCTTGTAGAAAGTTCTGAAATGTGGCTGGTGCATTACACAGCCCATCCCTTAGGACTGTGCTCTCGAAACTGCCATATCTTGTTCGTAAGGCAGCTTTATGTTCATCTCCTTCTTTTATTCTGACTAACTGGTAAGCCCCTTTCAAATCGAGTTTAGTGAAGATCCTTCCTAATTGAAGTCGATCGAGTAGTGTCGAAATGAGTGGCATTGGGTATGAATCCTTAACGGTTACCTTGTTGACGCCCGATAATCCGTTACCACTCGATAGGGAATCACTCCCTTTTTGGGGACCAGGAATACAGGAGACCCATAAGGTGATTTACTTCTTCGTAAATGGCCGCTGGCCAAACCGTCATTGATCCATTGCTTTAGGAATGTGTCCCCATGTTCATCCAGTTGGTAGATTGGACCTGGTTTTAGTTCTGCTCCGGGGGTCAATTCGATCTCGTGATCACATTCTCTTTTTGGTGGTAGTTTTCTGGCCCGTTCCACCTTAAATAACTCCAGGTATTGGTGCCATTGTGTCGGTATGACTTGTCGTAACTCTTCTTCGCTCATCTCATCTTCTCCTTTTTCCAATGCTGTTCCTCTTACTAATCCTTCCTCCAATCTTGGATACTTCCAACCGTTATCCTGTCCGATTCCGTCGAATTCGATCAGTCCTTTCCCACAATCGATTCTTGCCCTAAAATGTCTTAAGAAATATAATCCTACTAGTACTTCTGGCCCTTCGTATGCCATAACATCCAGTCGAGTTGCAATCCTGAGTCCTTTTCCCAGATCTAATTCAGCTTCTACATATTCGGTTACTGACGTCGCGGTAGTTCCATCCAGGAACCTAATCTTTTGTGGTACTTGATATTGTTTCTTTGGGAATAGATGGTATAATGGACAGGCCGGCTGCACATACCTTCCTGTAGCACCGGTATCGATTAACATTCCAATCTGTAGGGTATCTTTTTTTTGTTTGTATTTTTATATATATTATGGCCGAGTCATTACTGAGATCTATTGGTATTTGAATTTTCTGTGATCCTGTTAGATCCTGGCCGCAAGCAGTCGCATTGCTTAGGCCAGGTAGTCGTTTCCCTCTTCTTCAAAGGTCACCGCCATCCCTCGAACTAATGGCCCCTTAGATCCAGTTGGGATCGAATTCGATCCACTAGGAATTGGTGAGCTATGCGGGTTTGGGGATCCCCTAATACCGTTTCTTGTGTTTCCTCCATTTGGACAGTTGTTGGCATAATGTTCTGGACTTCTACATTTGAGGCAGCGTCGGTTCTCTCTTCTCCAGTTCATTTCATTCTCACTGAGACGTCCTCCATCCTCAGTCCATGTGACCGGGGGGTCGTTTGGTAAACCAAAGTTCATCATCCCTGGTTTTCCACCTGGTAACGGTCCTTTACCACCTGAATGCGGGGTTTGTTGCACAGGGTTTGAAAGATTACTATCCAATCGTATCGAGTTCGATCGTGGAGTGATCCATGTTGTTTCATTTTTACGCCTAGCAGCCCATCGGTTTGCTGCAATCATCGTTTCAGCCATCCGTTGGTTCTCCTCGGTTCCTATTACATGTTGCTTGAAGTAGATCCAATCCGATTTGGTTCGAGGGTCGGTGTTATTCACCACTACCACCTTCAGTAGTTCTTCTTTCAGGCCCTGTATGGCTGATGCGATTTTCATCGCATCGGGTACCTTTCCGAGATGAGTCGACCATAATTCGAAGTTTGCAAAATACTCCGCTGCGGTGTCGGTCTGTCGTAACTCTTGTAGTTTCTGCATAGCGGTACCCGCCATGTTGCTGTCCCCGAATTGCGTTCTTAAGTGTTGAATGAATTTTTCGTATGTCTCTAGCCACTCGGTCGAATTCCATATACTTGGGTTGGTTATGGCCGGAGTTAAGAGCATTTGAGGGGTGCCCCGTAGATAACCGTACATGAACAGGATCTTTCTGCGATCGGTGGCGTACTCTGCCCCTTTGAATTCGAAGTTCATGTGGCATGCTGCAAGGAAATTGTCCAATTCCCCTCGTTCTCCACTGAAAGTAGTGGGTCCGCACACCTGGTTCTTCCTATTCGTTCGTTGTTGTAAAGCTTTGGCTCCACACACGGCTTGTACTCTCGATGTTGATCGAACCTGCCCCTTTTGAGGTCAGTAGCTGTTGGTTCTGTCGGTCAGCCTTGATCGTAGCCAGTTCTTCCCTTAATGCATTTTGTTCCTTTTGTTGCATCGTCATAATGGCTAATAATTGTGACAACTGCTGCGATAATTCATTCAGCGGATCTGGGGTAGTGGTGGTAGAAGTGAGATCATGTGAAATAGTACTTCTCGAAGAACTTGTTGGCATTTCTACCTCTGGGACCAGCCCTTGTTCCAACTCCTCTTTTTCCGGTATCATTTTCCGCGCTTTCCCTCTGGTAAGCATGCAATACTCTCCACTTCGACCCAAGGCGCGTAAGGCTGATTCTTCAACTTGTAACGGTACTGGAAACACGATGACTAGGTCGCAGGTTGGGTCGAACTCGATGGAGGTCTCGTAGAAGTCTACGTGTCTCTGGTGCTATGTGATGGATCGTGTCTCCTCTGCAATCGGTGTAGCCAAAGAATGATATTGAAGAATCAGCAAAGTTGGTACTTTGCTGATTGTACTATATACTGTCTACGGATATCCTCGTCCTTGTCCTCCTGCTGCAAGCGTCTACGTACATACTTGGACAGGTGAAAAACCGCTTTGAGCAAACCCAGTGGGGAAATCTTGAAAGGGGAAAACCCGTCCCTACCTACTGCAGCACTGCCTCCAACTCTCGCCGTTCTCTTTCCTAATCCGTCGAACTCGATGGAGTTCTCTCGATTCGTTGTTACTCCGTAACACGCATCCACGACGTATTCATGTTGGTTAAACACTCTCAGGGTCCGGATAACTGTAGTGGGGTATGCTCAGTCCAAAATACGTGTACGCCCATCGGTCCTCTTCCTCTGTGAAAACAAATACATCATTTGCCCCATTCTCGATGGAATAGTCCGCAACATCTCCAATGCTTAATGGGGTACTTGGTGGGTCGCGGACCCTCATCAAAGAGTATGATACCTCTTTTTGATAGTTTAAATACAGGTAATCAACATTCTCAAAACTGATCGGCATCACTTGAATATCCTCCTCATCCCCAACACGTGATGCATTTAGAGTTAACTGCAACCAATTGGAAAGTTGATGAACAACTGTAAGAGTGATATGATCCAACAATTCTGTTGCTGCTCGAGTTCTTTTATGAGAATTGTCCTCGCCTGACTGCATATAGAAGTGAATTTCGTCTGGTACTTGAGACCATTGAGCGTCAAGAAGCTCTTTTGCCTTTTTGAAAAAAGGATGTTCATCCGCGTACATAGCGTAAACACTCCGTCTTGTTATTTTTCTTATTGTGTCACACTTGGCCCACTCCTTGATTCTTTCAGAGGCATTGTGATTAGGATCAACAAGGGCAATCCAAGCAGAGCTAGTCTCAGCTTCTACTAGTAGGCCAAAAGCTAAGGTAGAACCATCATCTTTCCTGCTAGGTTGTGCACGGTACAAAATGCTACCCTCTTCATGCAGTGCTAGAGGATCATATATTATCATGGCTGTGATAAGAGTGGTAAGAAAGTCAAAGTGATTGTTGATTTTAGTCTCTTCCTCAAGTATACGGGACATCCCCTCTCCTCGCGGAATTTTGAAACTGCGACAAAAAATTGGTTTAAAGGATGTATGGGTATGGGAACGGCACATCCTTTTTCCCGAAATCTCGCTTGATCTCATTAGTCTTCTTTGGCTTGAAAAGAGAGTTTTACTTGGTTTCTAAACTTGTTTTGTCTGAGAAGGGAGGTGAATGAACCATATGGGGAATATCACGTAAGTACTAGTTGTTGCGGGGTCTGAGAGGATTCCCCCAATGCACAAAACCTATGATGAAATTGTCTGGTATCCGCAGGATTTTTATAACCTTGATTTTCCCACACCAAGTCGCTTTGATTCGTCACATGAGTAGTGGAAGACATATGAAATAGAATGTGTACAACCACAAGGATTTGAGGTGACCATGGGGATTCAGGAAACAAACAAACGGATGATCATTTGATGATGTAGCACGGACGTTGATCTGTCATAAATGTTCCGTTTCTTGAGTGTTTTATGGGTGAAAAAACAAGCAGGGGTAGTCATAAAGTTCCATCCTTTTCTGGCGACTTTGTACTTAGCAAGATACTCAATTGGCTTCCGGTATGTAAGGAAAAAATCCCTTCTCCTGACCACATGACAGGAAGATTCTATCTCGGGAGCATCAAGTTGGTAATGTACTTGTACAGCCTCTACGTCTGTGTGAGACTGCCCGGAAGAAACTGCAACCACCATGAACAAACTCTTCAAGGGTCAAAGCAAATAGTCCCACTGCACAAAATTGCTATGCTCATCCATCAGTGAGACAGACTCACAGGGCATATACTGATGCACAGAAAACATGAGATATCTGATCTACTATAGAGTATTGTATAATGCATCCCCTTAGGCTCTGAGTGCGAGTTTCAACAAATGTGATGAAATCAGACACAATGACCGCCCCAACACCCACACCCTTTCACCTGAAGTCTGGAAATGCTTGAAGTTGATTTCAACTTTCCAGGTGGAAATACATCATAAACTGTGTGGATTGGATTGTGGACCGATATATACATGTTAGGTGACGTACGGAAGACGTGACACTTCGAAGCGTCACGGGTATGATCATGACCAGCTGAAGATCTGTGACACTTCGAAGTGTCATGACACCTAGGGCCATGACACTAAGAAGATCTGAGGTTTCCACAACACCACTGATCAAAATCAACTATGCTTTGGATCTGTAGCTCTTGATCATGATTGGAAGGTGGCTACCAACAAAGATCCCATGAATGCATGCATGGGAGGAAGAAACAGCATTTGGAAGTTTTGATGTTGAGGAGGCTATTGCGCAACAACCCAATCAGCTACACTCAACTCCTCTTGATGCAAAACAGATCGGAACGGTCTCATCTCATGTGTAAAGATTCTTGGAGTCTGCAGGATATCTGAGAACATGGCAGGTATTCTTCTGTGGGACACGGATCTTCAGCCAGTCACGGTCATACCCGTGACGCTTCGAAGTGTCACGTCTCCGGTACGTCACCTAACATACATCTAAACTATGCTCCTTGGTCACTCTTCTCAACTCAGGTGGAGTTGAGGTTGCGGTACTGTACGTATGCTCTCAAGCCTTATGACATGTCCGCTTAGATCCCACTACAGGACTATCTTCACACCCGTCCTACCCTACTGGAGCTTATGTGCTACCAGACATTACTGTCCAACTGTGATCTCCCAAGCGACGGTTGAAGGACATGTCGTCAATACCGGTGGCGAAGTATAGATAGATATTGGACGGCGTTTCTTTATTCCTGTGGTGTAGGCCTGGGGAACTTGAGGCGGTATTGTGAGGTTGGAGTATGACATCTCTAGGGGAAGATCTGAGAGTTGTAACAGAGATTCAATCTCCACTGCATCTAGTGCTACCACAGTGATGTAAGGATCTCCAAGACCCTTTTCAGAATTCAAAAGAGTGCCCGCCCATGCGGCGAGTTCGTAAGCTGTCTTATTGTCGCTGATACTGCCATCTCCTTGTCTTCCAGTGAGAGTGTTTCGTGCATTTCTGAGTGGTTTCACCCCTGTTTCTCGTACTTGAATATCCCAATGGGTTCTTAAGATTTCCGTCGCTCTCTCTATAAACGGGTGTTCGGACAAATCCTCGGACATATATGACATGTTTGATGTGATAGTCTTATCGGCCTCCGAATCCGGCTGACAACAACAGATGAACCTAACTGTAACCCCGCTGTTGGCAACGTGTATGCTCACGCCCAGGTCAAATCCATCGGCAGACTTGGGGCCTCTCAACACTATTGTGCCCGGGATACGGGTGATCTTCATGGTTGAGGGAGAAGTGCCATTGAGTGCCGTAGTTCTGGTAGTTCTTAGCTCTTTAGTAAGTGGTATGATACAAACTTACCCGTGTTCTGGCTTTGTGGGAAGTAGTAGAGGACTGCAGGACATCACGTGAACTATCACTAGTACTTGTTTCTCAGAGGACGGTGGAGGTGAAAGTATAAATTTGGTATATCGGGAGGGGATAGGGATCTATCTCCACGGTATCTACTGTATTTATGATACAGACTTATCAATAAGCCTTCTTCCTACTTGTACGGTCCGCTAAATTCGGCCGGAACCTGTCTCGTATCCGCAGATAAGGCAACATCATGCGATACGGGTGAGAGGAAGGGGAGGGAAGGAAGGAAGATTCGATCCGCGCGGATCTCAGACGGGCCTTCTATCCACTAGCGAATCTGTAAGGCAGTGTAGCATGATAATATAGACAACAATGGATGTTATATGGGAAGAAAAAGAGAGATAAGAAGGGTAAGAGAATGGATATTCCCTCTCATCATCCCTTATTTCCACCTTCCCCCCCTAGACTCTTTCTCGTCATCTAGACCGGACAATCTTTTGCTACATGTTGTTGACAAGAGTTCATAATGTTGACATCATATGTAGAAAATGGAGAGAACAAGTAATGGTTTTGATCTGATACATGGTCACTTGCATGCCCTTCGGAGCGGGAAATGACTGACGCACGGAATGATGTGCGGTAAGCATGCTTAGTCTTACAACTTATCCCTCCTCAATCTAAGAAACAACAATTCTCCTATCATCTCAAGTGTCTCATGATTGCCAAACGGAGGTGTAACCAGTATGAGAGGGATTCTTAGAGTACGGATGCGTGAGTAAAACCAGCATTCCTGGTCCCTCGTTTTCTCAAAAAGAATTTGTTTTGGGAAAGGAACTGCGATATGTATGTGTTTAGGTATGTCTTTGTCACTGAAGTCTAGGACATGTCCAATAGTATAGCTCTAATATATATCCATCAGATGTCTATGTCTAATGTAAACGAACTTTCCGCTTTCTCTGCAACAAAGAGGTAAGGGGTTTCACATGTGCAATACCAGCGATGCGCCTCTTCAAGCTTAATTCATGAGATGCACAAGACATACAGCAAGTATACAAAGCACTACTAATCAAATCCTCTCACTGGAGTTTGTGACATCAGGATCTTCATACAGAGCTACCAATCTGGCCGTTCTCATCACTTGTTGGGTTGTGCCCAAGTTCCCATTGTCAAGAAATGGACGGAACGAGACCACCTCGGTGATTTGTGGATGTTGACTGAGCAGCTCATTCCACTCACAACTTTCAACTTTCATCCACTCGAATCTTGAATTGTGAGTGTCTTGTACCACACATCGGATCTCATTCCAAGTGTGAGCTAGTGATTTTGCCCACATGGCAGCTGCGGCATGTAGCATATTACGGATTGTCCTACTATTTGACGCATGCTCTGATAGAATGGCCTGATGGAATCTGTCACGCACGTTGGGAGAGAAGTTGGCAAGCTCGTCTTGGAAACAGCCAACACCCAAGGAGTGTGGTCTTGACCTTGGGTGCCATGTGCTGCCAAGGACACCTAAGGTCGACGGGTCCCGAGGGAGACGGTTCCAGATGATGATCTCCTCCAATTGATCTTTGACCAGGCGCATACTGACTTGAACATGTGCACCACTCTTATGTGATCCACTCCTATGTGATTCACTCCCAGAGCGGCCAGATATGTTTGTGTATATTGAACTACTCATTGCTCAATAAGAACAGTGATGTTGTGATGAGAGATAGGATGAGGGTACTTTCCATGGTGGGGAAACACTGATATACTTTATGGCAAATCTCCACCTGCCTTCGATTCCGTTCCTCTCACTCCGCTTCGGCGAAAGTGGAGCGGCACGTAGAATGGAGGCACCTGAGAGATCAACTTCTTTGAACTCAGCCGGTACCTTCTTATGCTCCACTCCTTACCCCAGGTCTGATTGTTGGCCAGGTTTTCCAAAGTCATATTTGGGACTATGAGGGTTGAATATCCACCAAGATTGTCTATGACGTCACAATTGCATCTTTCAGGTTGCAACACACTGTGGTACGTGTTGTGCTCGAAGATCTTGACTCTCAACAAGCTACCAGTGGCCCTCAATACTCAGGGGTGTCTAGGAATGATACATTCCGGAGAAAAACGAAATCGTGAAAGGCCAACAAGTGAAAAGACCAGAGGGGAACCTCTGTCTCACACGCCCTCCACTCACCTCCAACTATGACTGTAAGCAGGGAAGAACCAGCCAACAATTCCTCACATTGTCGGTTCACTCAAATTGGCGGGGCGTCAGGTAAGAGCATGAGGAAAGGCTCACGCCACTATACATATTCATCTTCAACCCAGCTACCGAAGTATCAGAACTAGACGAGTTCCGCTTTAGGTGGTTCCAATATCTGTTAGCCAATAGGATCGGGACATGACGGCCGAACCGACCTTAGAAAATTTCCCCTTCCGTCGAGTATTCCTTTGTTCAACTTATCCTCTGAACTTTATTGGATCGTCTCTGGTTTCCTGCGTGTGAGTGGAATGTGATAAGTATAGAGACATGTAGATTTGATGCATGCTCTTTTTCCCCTCTGTATTATCATCTAATAAGTAACAAACAGATTAACAGTCGGAAGTCCACATACCTCTGGGTATAACTAAGGCAAGTTCCTATCTCTACTCTCCTCATAATGACCTCTGTGTCGTCTAAGATCTCTCTTGAGAACCACCCAAAGTTATCCCATGATCCAGCATCGAGTGCTCCGTGGAGGAAGTCAATCGAGGTGTATCTACAGATAGGCGATGTGTACAATATCGTCACAGGTAATGATACCGAACCCGGTCGCGTAGGGGTGAGGCCGACAGATGTGAGGGCGGGATCAGTACCTCCTATGACGCCCGTCGAAGGGCAAACGATCGGTAGGAGGATCACTGGAGAAGAGTGGAAGGAATGGGAAAAGTGGCAAGCGAGGGAGAATCAAGCGCAGGGGATGATCAAGGGAACGGTGTCGGATGCTGTGATGCTTGATATATCTGAGAAGATGTCAGCTAAAGAAATGTGGGATTACTGCATAGCTCTGCATGTGACAGCCACAATCGAGAATCAGAGGAACGTCCATCAAGCGTTGTTTAGCTATGACTTAAGGGACGATGCGACTGCCAAAGAAATGGCTAAGCATGTGGAGGATTTCTCAAAGACAATGTCCAAAGCGAAATTGGTAGGCTTGAAGTTTGACTCACAGGAACGAGCTGGGTTATTCCTCAATACCATTCTAGCACCATCCTACAGGATCATCCAAATCGAAGTAACATTGCTCATTGAAGTTGAAAGAACCTGGGAAAATGTCACGGCCGTCGAACAACTTCTCTCTATTGACCGACGGTTGACGAACCTCGGCTAACTTGTCTCTTGGTGTCAAGGTCTCACCCAAGTAGGAGGGCGCAGACGTTGAAAGGAGTGTAACTACGGCGAACTTCGGCGTAGTTACTCTATCTAGGGGTTTTCTCTGCTGGCGATGTATCTCAATTTATATTGTAGCTATCTCTATCAATCTTTCACTACTGACAACAATCAAGGATCGCTGAAGAACTTCAGCGATCTTCTCAGCTAATTATATCCACCACTCCTAGATGTTCATCCAACCCATCCACGCTTCGACGCACTTCGGCCAACTTCCCCGAACCACCGAGCACCCGTTCTTCTAACCTCGCCTAACTTCGCCTAACTTCTGCTCCCTCTATCCCTGTTACGATCCGGTAGACCAGATCCTAACACCCATATTGAATCACATCTTCTTTACGGCGTATTACACGTAACACACCGCAAAGTGTACATGTTTCAACGACTCCCACCTTCTTTCCGTCGTCTCAACGTTCTTCATGCAAAGTACAACGAATTGTACGCATCACGTCAAGAATGCAGTTCTTTTAGTTTGATAGTTTGATATAATATAGTATAGGAACCGAGGAATACGACTCTTTCCTACGCAGGACGGCGGACATCCCAAAATGGACTCGGAAAAGGATATAAACCCCTTGTACTTCTTTCATAGTTTCTTTTCTTCAGAGATCAATTATCATACGTTTCAACCTTTACTGACCAAGTCATCTAATACTGACCTAGACTTCAAGCTTGTCTTCCACATTGGCCCCAAGCCTATCTTCGTTCACACCTTGGGTCTCAATATAGTTATCAGACCTGCTTTTGTCATCATCATATTAGACTCCCTCATTGTCAGTAAGTCATCTTGTCCTGCGTATCAGAGTTCCTCTATCTCTCTTATCATCTTTGTCATCAACACATCCCTTCACATCACTTGTCCACCTGCCGTCTCTCCTCTGAGACGTACCAGGCCTAACAATCCCTGCCCAACCTAACTTCCCCTAGCTTCGCCATAGTCGGTCTCAGATGTCCTAGGGTATGTGTGAACCGAAGAGGTTGAGAAATGATGGGGGTTTGATGGCCAAAGGAGGGTCGTTGTTGGTGGAATTTAGGGGTGTCACGACGTAGTTCGTGACAGAAAAGGTCTTGTCGATCTTCAATAAAGAAACGGTGAGACGTAAAGCACGCCCTGTTGGTAGGACCAATAGGAAGGGATTGCGATGTTCGTTGAAGGAAATAAAGGACTGAGGGTGAACCGAGATAATATCTCTGATGGTCAGCCCAGAAAAAAACTAGAAAGTGTTATAACTGTGACACTGTAGGACATCTAGAAAAGTACTGTCGTAAACCTCAAAGAGAGGATACGAACAGGAAAGAAAACGCAGATGGAAAGGATGGAGGTAAAAAGAAATGGAGGAATAATAAGAATAATAAGAAAGGACATACGGTCTCGAAAGATGAGAACCAGTCTAAGGATAACTCCAAAACCTCCTTGGCATATTCGTCATTGGATGGTGAACATGAGGCGTGGGCCGGGATGGCCATGTCGACAGAATCATGGTTCGATGATGACGAAGGGTACACAAGTAATATTGTATGGCCCAAAGAAGTTGAAAACCCGCGGGTTGAGGATAATGAATGGGTGGGATTAGCTACAGAGTCTAATGACGTTAGCCACACCCGTGTAATCCCCACTGTCACAAAGTGTGTGACAAGTCGAGCGAAAGTCGGGGAAGGGTATTTAACCAGCGATCGGCGGTAGTGTTAACCGCCGATTAATAGGCCTTTTCGTCGCAGTGGTTTAGATCACTGTTCCGTTGGGCACTGTTATATCGTGCATATGCTGGTCAGTATGTCTCGTGACAGATTAATCGGCGGTTACGGGTAGGATCCTGGGTTCGACTCCCCGGACGGCGCCGGGGGTAACCCAGGCCCTACTTGGAAAAACCTCCCTCTCGGAGTAAGTTTTCGGTCTATCGTACCCTTCCCAAGTGTGGGGGCCCAAGCGGGGTCCCCTTGTCGGGGCCCCAAAGCGGGGGCCCAAGAGAGTGCATAATGTCACAAAGTGTGTGACAAGTCGAGCGAAAGTCGGGGAAGGGTATTTAACCAGCGATCGGCGGTAGTGTTAACCGCCGATTAATAGGCCTTTTCGTCGCAGTGGTTTAGATCACTGTTCCGTTGGGCACTGTTATATCGTGCATATGCTGGTCAGTATGTCTCGTGACACCCACCTGGGTAGTGGATAGTGGTGCTACTCACCGTATAACTCCTCACAGGTCGATAATGACCAATATTAAAAGACTAGTAGAGCCGAGAGTATTCGGGCTAGCATCTGGCAAGTCAATGACAGCTTGGGAAACAGGTGACATTACCCTCGAACTAGATTCCGGACAGAAAATGGTACTGAAAGATGTACATCACGTCCCCACAGCGAAGATAAGTCTTCTTTCCCTGTTGCAGTTACTCTCATGGGGATGGAAGCGAATTTAAGCAGTGGTGGTGGATGGATAGGTAAAGGTAAAGAGAAACTAGGTTTGAGGAAACATGACTCACTATGGTCAGTACGATTTGGCAGAGCAATGTCTGCAGCGATGATCGTAATATTGACACCAAAGGCTACTTCACCTCTCATGTCTGAACATCAGCGACTCGGACACATAGGTGTGATAAACTAAAGAGTCTAGGTAGACAGGGACTGTTGAAGAAGGATTGGGACACTTACAAAGATGATCCCTTTACAACTGATAAATGTCACGCCTGTATGCAGGCCAAAATAACATGTCTACCGAAGAATAAGGAAGCACCAATGCTAAAAGGAGATGGTGAGGGAGTAGGAATGGATGTCGACATTACTGGTCCGTTTGGTCCGGCGATAAATGGAGAAAGATATTTCTTCGTTGGCGTGGAAAGGGTAAGTCGAATCGTATTCGCCATACCAATAACGACGAAGAACGAAGCGTCTAATATCGTTTGACAATGTATTTCGAAATTGGAAAAACAACTTGGTGAAAGGGTGAGGGTGATTAGGTCTGATGGGGGAGGTGAATTCGATAGTCTCCAAATGAGGGAATTCTACCTGTCAGCAGGGATCAACCACTACATCACACCAAGATACACACCAGAATTAAATGGAGTGGCGGAGAGAATGATACGTTGTCGGGTGCCCGGTATTGTATGGATACCTGACTCGCCCGAACAATATAATATCTGTCAGTGAAGGTCAACTCTACAAACGTCTAAGGTCAGAATCTGTATCTGTATGAGGATGAGATGTGGTTGAAGGGTAGGTAGGTGGATGATATCGAAGACGGTTGAGATGGTGTTGAAGGTAGGTGAAGGTGATG